TTGGCCTTCTGGGCTGCAAGCGCACATTGCTGGCTCATGTCCAGCTTTTTATCCACCAGTACCCCCAAGTCCTTCTGGGCAGGGCTGTTCTCAATCCCTTCATCCCCCAGCCTGTACTGATACTGGGAGTTGCCCCAACCCAGGTGCAGGACCCTGCACTTGGCCTTGTTGAACCTGAGGTTCACATGGGCCCATTCCTTGAGCTTGCCCAGGTCCCTCTGGATGGCATCCAGTTCCTCAGGTGTGTCAGCTGCACCACTCAGCTTGGTGTCATCTGCAAACTTGCTGAGGGTGCACTTGATCCCACTGTCTATGTCATTGATGAAGAAACTAAACAATACTGGTCTGAATACAAACTCCTGAGGGACACAGCTCATCACAGATCTCCCATCTGGACATGGAGCCATTTGACCACTACCCTCTGGATGAGATCATCCAACCAATTCCTCATCCACTCAACAGTCCACCAATCAAATCTATCTCTCCCCAGTCTAGAGAGAAGGTTGTTGTTGTTGTGGGGGACTGTGTCAAAGGCCTTACAGAAGTCCAGATAGATGATATCCGTACCTCTTCCCTTGTCCACTGGTGTGGTCAGTCTATCATAGAACACCACTAGGTTGATCAGGCAGAACTTGTCCTTGGTGAAGCCATGCTGGCTGTTTTGAATCACCTCCCTGTCCTCCATGTGCCTTGGCATAGCTTCTAGGAGTATCTGCTCCATCATCTTCCCAGGCACAGAGGTGAGGCTAATGGGTTGGTAATTCCCAGGGTCCTCCTTATATTGCACCCTTTTTTGAAAAGGGTAGTTTCTTTTTCTAGCCTCCAGGAACTTCAGCTGACTGCCAGGACTTTTTAAATAGCATGAAGAGTGACTTGGCAACTACATCAGCCAATTCCCTCAGGACTCTGGGATGCATCTCATCAGGTCCCATAGACTTGTATAAGTTCAGGTTCCTCAGGTGGTGTCAAACCTGATCTTCTCTTACAGTGGGAGGGACTTGGCTCTTCCAGTTCTCATCTTGTGATCCATTCCCTCAAGAGGTGTGGGAAGAGACACTGCCAGGCAAGACTGAGGCAAAGAAGTCACTGAGTACCTCGGCCTTCTCTTCATCCATTGCTACCAGTCGGCCAGTCTTGCTCATCAAGGGGGGTACGCTTTCTTTGACCTTCCTTTTCTGGCTGACATACCTGTAGAAGTCCTTATTATTCTTTGCATCCCTTGCCAAGTTCGGCTCCAGCCACACCTTGACCTTCCTGACCCCATCCCTACACAACTGGGCAGCATCCCTGTACTCATCCCAGGATACCTGTCCCTGCTTCCACTGCCTGTGCATTTCCTTCTTGCCCTTTAGTTTGACCACAAGGTCTCAACTCAGCCATGCTGGTCTCTTGCCTTCCTTTCCTGATTTCTTACACCTGGGGATCAAGAACTCTTGTGTTCTCTGGAAAGTGTCCTTAAACATCTTCCAGCTCTGTTCTGCTCCCTTGTCCCTGAGGGCAGCTTCCCAGGGAGTCCTATTGACCAGTTTCCTGAAGAGCTGGAGTTTGCTTTCCTAAAATTCAGGGTCCTGACTTTACTCTTCGCCTATCCCCTATCCCTCAGGACTGTGAACTCCACCAGTGCATGATCAGTGCAGCCCAGGGTGCCTCCAGTCTTAATGTCACCACTTAGCTCATTTGTGTTGGTGACCAACAGGTCCAGTATGGCACCCCTCTGGTAGGGCTGTCTCTTACCTGGCACAGGAAGTTATCCTCCATGCACTCCAGGAGGCTGCTGGATTGTCTACAGCTCACCATACAGCTTTTCCAGCACATGTTGGGGTGCTTGAAGATCCCCAACAGGATAAGAGCCTGTGAGCATGATGCCTCCTGTACCTGAAGTAAGAAGACTTCATCAATAGGCTCCACTTGATTGGGCAGCCATTACTAGACATGAACCACAAGATTCCCTTTGTTGCCACAGTGTCTGATTCTTATCCATAAGCTTTCAGCCTGCTCATGGCTATTATTCAAAGACAGCTTTTCATACTCTACCCATGTCTTGATGTAGAGGGCATTGCCTCCAGTCCTCCTTCCTCACTTGTCCCTTCTGAAGAGCCTGTAGCCATTGATAGCCACACTCCATCCCATCAGGTTTCAGTAATGGCAAACAGGTCGAAGCTTTCTAACAGCATGGTGGCTTCCAACTCCTCGTGTTTGTTGCCCATGCTGTGTGCACTGGTGTAGAGGTACTTTAGCTGGGCTGTTGGCCATGTCATGCTCTTAGAGGAACACCCTTT